TGAGATTAAAAAAAAAACATTAAACAAAGTTTAAAGAGACAAGTCCGTTGATTGCGTCACACTACAGGCGTGTGGCCCCTGATTTAAGATGCTGAGTTTAACACAAGTTAGCCATTACCTGCTGCGTTTGGTAAATGAATGAAATACTAATTGAAGACAAAATGCATTATGCAGCAGCATATTTGATTACAGATGCTGTTTGGGATTTAAGTTTGGGATTTTACCTAGCATAAATTAATTTAACAGTTTTTGTTTCCGTTTTCAGTCTTCAGAAAAATAAATAATGCTAACAGAATCTGTGAGAAAAGCTTTGTGAATACGAGCCATCATTTCGACGTTGTTTTGCCTAAAAAAAACAACTCACTGATTTAGTAACTATCTGGTAACAAGACGTTTAATTTTAAAAGGAGGAGAATCAGGATGCTGATAATTGTAATAATTACAGCAGCATTAAAGACAATTTAGTTTAACGAATAATACTGTTGTTAAAGTAATACCCGGGGCCTAATTGTGGGGAAAATGCTATTTAATTTTAATTAGGCTATAAAAAGTATAGAATAATCTCAGCGTACTGTACAGGCTATCATTACTGTTACCGAAAAGTAAAATGTTTGTTGATTTAATGAAATATCACAGTTAGTGTTAGTCATATTAAGCAGCTATGAACCTCATTATTAACATAAACATTGATTTTTAAACCTCGGTAAACCTCTTATGTTTTATTATTGATTGTAAAAAAAGATGTTACAAATAGAATACTTTACGTCTAAGTTTACATTTTCGCTCTATACATGGAAAATCAGAAGAGTTCAAATGTTTTGCAAAAAAGATCTGATATATTTATATAATGTGTTTTATACTCCAATACAATAATTAGAAACATTTTTGTTTCATCTTTAAAATAATAATTCTTAGGTCCTCAGTTCAATTAATGTCGCGTTTATAAACCGCCGAACAATTATGGTAAGATCCGGAAAACCAAAAACAGAAAAAGAAAGGAGAGTTTTCAATAACGTTTACCCAACATAAGTATAAAATCACTGTTATAAAAAAAGTACGAAAATATTGAATATTGAATTCTAAAAATTCTGTAATTTGTATTCAAAACATTTTAATAGAAGCAAAGTATTCGAAATAGTCTGTAAACGCACAGGATAGCCCCTAGAAAATCTTAAGCATTTATTAATGCATTTTCTCTATTTCCTGAATAAAAGCAGATAAACATATATTGCAAATATTGTATATATACTCTATACATTCAGTGCACTATAGTGATCTGTATATTATACCACTAAAATGAATGACATGGAACCTGTACAAAATAGGCTTAAATATGGTTTGAGCTATTTAAGGACTAAAACATAATTTAAAGAGTTAAAAGTACGTGGCGTTTTCTTAAAACCTTTGACGAAATGCTTTCACTTTTGTATCGCCTGTCAATCAAACACGCTCAACAGTTTAACTGTCTTGACATGCTAACTGGTCGAGTTTGCGTTGTTGGGGAACAAATACGTGATTTTGTGTATTTAGCGAATGCGAATATTGAAAAGCCACAGCGCAGGTCTTTTTCCGTCAGCCGGAGGAGGGTCACCACGTCTGAACAGAGCAGCAGAATGTTGCTCTTGAGACCGCAGCGCGTTCGTTACAAACCGCCACACAGCACAAAGTGGGCTATTGTTATGGGCGACTACGGCGGGTATTAAGCCGGCGTGTTAAATATCAAAGTTCCCGATTAGTTTTTTTTAAGCAACTGAGTTTCAAGGGGAACTGGGGGGGCCGGGAACGCTGACGTTTTCGTGCTGAACCTGAATTGATCAAATCAGGGGGACAGCGAGGGTCACTTTTAGCGCTTGGAAAGCGAAAGGAGCGCGGCGGGGGTGTACAGGCAAGGCGCTGGCGTTCAAGAGCGCTTACACGGCCATAAAACCGAGGCGGGAAAAATGTCGACTCAGCATATAACACCCCTGTAAAAACAGCTCATAAAAGAAATGAAAAGCAAAGCGCGCGCCGGTGCATGTGCAGTAGATCTGGCCTTCACCAGAGGCTGCCGGGCGCTGGAGGCAAGAGTCGTTGGGGTCCAGGAATGACCAGCAGCAGAAATCCTTGCTGCATCATTAGGCTCCTCTGCTAAAGATCAAGTCCCTGTTCAAATGCAGCTTCCCTCGGGGGCACGGGGCTTGGGGGTCTTCGGGAACAAAAACAACCACAAAAAAGGCGCGCCTTGATTTTTGGAAAAGATCAGGCGAGGGATTTCTCCGGCTGGCGAAGCAGCTCTTTGCGGGAGGCGAGCCAGCCAGCGCCTCCACAGAGGAGAGACGGGTCCGAAAGTTGCTCCGAGTCACGCGTCGCGTCCGCACACAGAGAGGGCAGTTTCATTTCACTCAACACCCTCCAGGCAACGAATTAGCGCAACTCAGTCAAATACAGTGGCCTTTTTTCTACCTTCTTTAAATCCTTCTTTCCAAAAGGGGTTTCTTGAAATTCTTTTCGCACACAACATTAAGATCACAACACAGCGGTCTATGTATTCTAACATTTTTTTCATTCCCTGTTTTACAGAGGCTTTCTATTACTCGCAATCCAAGGGAAGATATGTGCATCCAGTATATTTTATATTAGAGAGGAACTAGTTTCAGAGCAAGGTTGGGCAAAATTAACTATCGAGAAGTCTTCTGCTTTTCTCTTTAGCCCGGCACGGCACAAGATCCAAACGGGTTGGCGGAAAGTACAGAGATGTGCAGCCACCTTCACCGATGGCGTTCGTTATCATGAACACAGGCGCCACACTCCTTCCTCCCGCTCATTTTGGGGCGCAACGAATCGGACTGTGTCTTGAAAGGCGCCAGTGTAGCTCGGGAAGCTGCGCTCCGGCGCTGCCGCCCCGAGGGTCCGCGTGGCGAGCTCTTCGTCTGCGGGCCTGCGCCCCGGGGCAGCTCGCGCGGGAGGCGGGAGACAGTCACCTGTTGTCGCGTTTTGTTCTGATGTGTGGCCACCGCGTTCGTTTTCTTCTTTGCTGTCGTTTTGGGGAAGTCTGACTTACACAAACGAGGGATTGGCACCTGGAAAATTCCGATATTTCATTTATGGAAAACATTTTAGAACAAGGAGTTTTGTTTAATTAATACCGAGAGGATCATAACACCAGTGCAACAAAATATCATACATCAAACAACAAAAAACAGCAAACACCTCTGTAGTGACTCCTTCCGGTGAGCTACCGAAACAATTTTCAAAATACAGAACATTATGAAATAATCTTCCTGCCCAAAACATAGCTGTTCATCGCGGAGACGATATGGCGTCATATCACGTCCGCTGGCGTCAGTGGATTGAGCCCAGAATTCAAATTTAAGGCCGATATATGAGGGAAGTTTTGACCTTGGTGGCAAGTCAAACTTTTCTATACAAGTTTTCCCACAGCATGTGGAAAAGAGTCATACGAGATTAAGAGCGAAGGAGCATGTCGCCATTGAGCACTGTGTAGGGAACTCGAGATCCCATTGTAAAAACCCTTTCATGGTCCTATCATGTCCTTCTCGTACGACGTGCTTTTAGAGGGCGTCCAGCGATTTTGTGCCGGTTTGTGAAACTGCCCGGTGCTCCCCGCCCTTTCACACTCGTTCCTTTTGCATTTGTTCTGTTTTTTGTTTTGTTACATCGACAAGCACAGCCGTATAAAATAAGAAACAGCAAAGGAAACCTGACAGACTCAATAGGCCCACCGGGGCTGCTGGCTGGTTTCGCAACTTCCTAATCAATTTGCTTTTTGTTGGTGCCGGAATATTCTTTGATTCCCCTCCCTTTTCTTTTAGCTTAATTGATCTTGGAGTCAATGTTGTTACAGATACTTGTGTGTGAGCGTGCGCGCGCGCTCCCTTTGATGCGTTTTCAATACCTCCACGTGAGGTCCGCGTTCCCTTCACCCAAAAAGGCTGCTGACTTCAAAAAAATACTAAGCTTACTGGAAAGAACAATACAAACGCACTGATTCAGAACCACACGCGGGCAACTGTTCAGAAATGTGATGATTGTTAAATTTATTGTTTTCTAAATGGGACAGAAGAAAGAGACCCCTTCAATGCGCTGGACTGCGCCGCGCCAGTCCTGCTGTGTTATAAGGTAAAGCCAACCCCGCACTGCACAAAGAACTGCTTCAATTAAGCTGATAGGCAAACTGGGATTTTCAACACAGAGGCTGGTAGGAGAGATTTCGTTAAGGACTTCCTTTTTATTTTGCTTTTGCCGATGGTGATCCTGATTTGAGGTTGCCGACTACCAACTGGACATCAATCAAAAAAAGAGTTCACAATATTTAACTTTTACATTCAAAACCATATGTCCCCCCCAGCACTGCAGAGTTTATCCAAAGCCTCTGGCACAGCCATATGCAACAGCCACTCCCCTATCCTACACACATTCAGACAGAGGACTTGGAAGTCACCATGGAAGACTGTTTCCATAATTGCCCTGCAAGATGCACCGGGCAGGTCATTTACATGCCCTTACAGGAGAATTGGCAATAATTGACCATTGTCTCAATTGTTTCCCAAAGAATATGACAGCAGTCACATAAAAAAAACTACCTACACCTACAAGGCAAAACTAACTCCTTGCCAGTTTTATTAGTGTGTATTGGACCTGCTGTGATCTTGCACTGTGCATGCTAATAATATCTTAACAACGGTCATCCTGCTAGCACGTGGTCATTGGCATGTTATAGGTCAACACCTCCAGCCGGCATCGCTTGACTTTGCAATTTCAGAAACGTATGTGTAAGGCCCTGTAAGGGCAAGGTCTGTGTACCAGACTCTCAGTTTTTTCTTGTAGACCTTTCCAATAATAATAATAATTCATTATACTTATATAGTGCTTTTCTAGACACTCCTCTCAATGGGCTTTACAGGTAATGGGGACTCCCCTCCACCACCACCACCACTGTGCAGCCCCACCTGGACGATGCGACAGCAGCCATAGTGTGCCAGTACACCCACCACACATCAGCTATCAGTGGGGAGGAGAACAGAGTGATGAAGCCAGTTCAAGGTCAGGACCTTTGTTTTACATCTCATCCGAAGGACGGAGCCTGTTTACAGTATAGTGTCCCCATTACTATACTGGGGCATTAGGACCCACATGGACTGCAGGGTGAGCGCCCCCTGCTGGCCCCACTAACACCTCTTACAGCAGCAGCCTTAGTTTTTCCCAGGAGGTCTCCCATCCAGGGGCTGACCAGGCTCACACCTGCTGAGCTTCAGTGGGCTGCCAGCTCTGAGTTGCAGAGCCAAGCATGTTAGAAGGGACAGGCAGGAAGGAGGTCCAGACCCTGGTGGGTGCCCAAGTCTCTCTCACTACCCTGGCTTTGATTCCTGGGAATGGCACAGTCTCCTACTGTTGCCACCCTTCTGCATGGGTGCGTCACTGTACGATGCCATGCCACATTACAAAGGAGAAACAGGCAGCATGATTTTGAGGTGTTTTAGACCAGACTACAACAAGAGCAACACCAGAGCAAGTGCACACATAAACAGGGCCTGTTACAGTCATTCAGAAAATGGACCTTTCCTCACGGCTGTGGCGACTGTGGCCTCTTTTTAATAAGAGCTCCTTGCAAACAGATGGGGACAGGAGAGTGCACCTCCATGCACTCTGCAAAAAAACCCACACTGTGCTGTCTCACTGCTAACAAGCTGCCCCTGCTTAAATCATCCAGCCATTCCAGCCAGTTGCAACTGCATTCTAGAGCAGTGCACCTCAAAAAACAGCTGCAGAGGCGTGTTGTAAATCAAAGCCTTATCTAGCGGCAGCATGGATTTCATATTTTCTCAATAATGCAGCTGCCGTTGGCAAGTCAACCAGCCCTAGACTACACAACACAACGTTGTAAAATAATAGCACTCCATTTCTGTCAGTTTTGCATAGTGTCACGAGTACGGCAGCCCAGTTTTGCAGCCTATGACCATTTCATTCCCTTACAACACAATCTGTCTGGCTTGTGTTTGTTTTATCCGGCGCCTTACCATTCAGCGAGTCACTCAGCTGTTTTAGCCTGCAGTTGGAAAGCCCTGCCCAGGAGATCTGAGCCTGGATGCAGGTACAATAAGTATAACATAAGCAGCAAACTGGCAGAGCAACACCAGCGATACTGAAAGCAAATTAACCCCAGACAAGGAGCAGACATGTATTTTTTTAACCTTTGACTTGGTGCAATAATAAATTGATTCATAGCGTGCGCTAGTTTTGCTGGCGTGTGTGTGGCGCTGTCAGCACACTCTCGAGCAGAAGAGCCGGGTGTGATGGGGGAGTGAGGGGAGGTGTGTGTGTTGGGGGGGGCGATGGTGCAGGAAAGCAGCTCACACTCTGCTCTCCCTCAGGAGGAAAGGGAGGGGGGTAATAATCTGTTTTTTTGGCTCCCCATGAAAGGAAGGGAGCTGAGCAAGGGGCCTGAGGATGAGGCATGCTGGAGGCTCCTCTTTGTCACCCGCTGTCCTTTCTCTCCCTCTTCCTCTCCCGCTCGCCCTTTCCTTCTCTTCTATCTGCCTTCCTGCAGCTCCTCTTCTCCCCCCCCTCCCCTCCATTTCTCCACACCTCTGGTTTTCTCTCTCCCGCTCACCTGTTTGTTTTCCTTCCCTTTAAAAGAACAAAACCCAAGGGGCAAGGGAGCAGATGCCAAAACAGCAGCACTCTGTGCAGTAGCAGGGCCTGATGCAGACGGTCGCGGGCAGAGAAATCCAGTGGGAAAATTACAATTCAACCACTGGGTAGTCGAGGAGGGACTGGTCATTTCGTTTAAAATATTAACAAAGCTGTTCTTACCAGGTCCAGCAGAAAATAAATGCCTTTCAGATCACCCACACTCGTGATTGTGAAGGTTCCTATTTTGAGGACTGCATTACGACCAGCACTGGTCTTGGACCCCTTATGTAGAGCTTGATATCCTAATAATCTTTTCACTTCTTGCGGGTACCCTGGAGACAAAGTACAGAGAGGAATAGCCCACAGACAACTCTCGAGAGCAGAGGGGAACTTCTTAGGTAACAACCTAAGGCATAACAGAAGAAATGCTGGTCAGAACAAGACAGAACTTCAGAGCCAAGGGAAAAAACCCTCCCCAATCATTAAAGAAGATCATTCTGAAGACTAAATTATTTTATTTCAAAGTTATGGCTAATACATTTTGCATGCAAAATAAAACGAGCCTTTTACTGCAGATTGGGATTTGGGGGGAGGGTGTTGGAGGTGGTCAGCTCGTGATGTTACGGGCCTTTGGACAAGAAAAGGGTCCTGACTGCAGGGCTGAGCGTGGCTGGGCTGCTGCAGAATGAGATCATCTCGGCGAAGTGGAGGCTGGTCAGTGCTGGCCTGGCACGCAGAGAGAGAGCTGCCGCATCCCACAGCCAGGCCCAGGTCTCCTCAGGGCTGAAGAGATAAGCATGGCTGAGCCCTGGGCCCAGGCAATCTGCTGTGCGAGGGGGCTCTTTTTTCCCCCTGTTGTTTTGTTTGACAACAAGCATTACTAATTTGTTGCTGTGGTGCTTTTAACCCTCTCTCTTTCTGCCTCCTACATTTCTGATGCTTAGGTTCGTTTTGCTTGCTTAAACAGTAGCTTGCCTCCTCCATTTACAAGGAGAAGAAATTCAAATTCAGAATTAACACTCTCTGCAGCAGCTCACACTTTGCACAAATGACAGAAGATCAATAGGTGTTCCCCCGAGTTTTAGGACTATGGACACGTACAGTCCTGCCCTGAGCATTTCTGGACCAGGATGGGTGAATAGGAGAAGCACACCCACCCCACCTCATTCTTCCTACGTGGGTAAAGGAGTCATGGGCATGAGAAAAGAAACCACTGGTGAACACAAACTGAGAGGATGCAATGAAAGATGAATTCTAAATACCAAGATTTCCCCCATACATGAGCAAAAATGCTCCATTTATTCACTGATCTGGTGCACAGAATAGATATTATCCATCTGAACTTGGAACAGTATGTAGGACCAGGGTTGCCGGTGATGCTGCTGTGTTGCACTCAGCTCTGTTTTAGGCTTAGCGTTGCTTTACAACAGACAACACCTCTCTGTCGAGGCTGGTCTGGTTCATACAGCAGAGAGATATGCCCCTGCCACCACAACCCATCCTGTTTTCATCTAGAGAGATAAAAGGGCTCAGAAAAGGCTTCCCCATTTCTGTTAACAACCTGCGTTCAGTCTCTTCTCCCGCAGGTCGATGGCCAAGAGTTCTCCTCTAACCGAGGAAGAGCATGGAGCACAAGAAGGCCATGTCGTCTATAGGGGCTGGGGACATGCCTAGAGTATTCTCTGCCAACTGCTCCCTCTTCTCTGTTCTTTCAGTAAAAGGCCAGGTCCCATGTGTCCCAGGTGTTGCTTACAGCTCACCTGTGTTGTTAGCATCTCCCGCCATCACTGACCTCTCAACTGAAACCACAGGGGTGAGAGACTCCACATAACTCACAGGAGCGAAAGACAAATACGCCTGAAGTGGCAATCAACAAATTAACCTTCCGTCTCCCAAAACACGGCTTACTAATCACTGGTAACACATGGGCACCACTGTGTAACGGCACACCAGGTAATTAATTAGGTTCCCTTGCTGAGAGGTCTCAAACCTCAACCAAATAAAGGATTACACTTCATCTTGGAAAACTAAAGAGCACGAACCTGAAATCCATCCAACACCATCACCAATGTGGTTTTAAGTTGTTGTAAGGTTACCATAATGAATAAAGCAAAACCATGTGTAGTAAATTGTACTGCGTTCTTTTATTAATGCAAAAGGAAAGCTCTGTTCCTGATAAGCAAAAGTTTGATCCTCAAGTTCGCAGTAATATCAGTAGAAAACATCACAAAATGGAAAAAAAGAAATTCTGAAAGGGATAAATGTTACATGATTGTTCTGTATGTAAAGGGAAACGGCACAGCATTCTGCCTTTGAGACCACAGGGTAATAAATCTGGAGCAGGGCGAGAATTTACTTTGCGAGTTCAGAAAGGGTTCAAAAGTCCCTGGCGCACTCATATGTTGGCAACTCCCCTTCATGAATAACATATCTTAACAAGGGCTGCTGTGGGCGCTGGGCAGCTGCTAATTTTCATCCCAGTATCACACAGTGTCCCGGAGCTCCTTGACCAAACTCGTGGGAAATCAAACTGTGATAATGCTGTCCTTTAAACAGTAGGCAGGATGAAAAAAAACAACAACCATTTCAGAAATCAATAGAAAACACCTACAATCACGAGGTTCTCTCAAAATTCGGGATGCAATTTTCGTTATACCTCATGTCATATCCTTCATCTCTCGTTCGGTCACATGCCTGTCCCCACACTTTCTCGGGCTGTTCATCTCTAAACTCTTCCACTTCCTTACCATTTCACTCCCCTCCCCGAGCACATTTATCCCTTCTCTTCCTCTCCATCGCCCCGTCTCAATGCCTCAGCCTCTGCCTCTTTGCTTCTGACATCCTGCCCATCCCACCTCTCTCTCTCTCCGTCAACTCTTTGTTCCTCGATGCACCCGTCTCTCTCTGCCTGCTTCATTCTCCCTCTCTCGCACTCTTTCTCTGTCCTTCCTCTCCAGGCAGGACGACAGGAAGAGTGGCAGGCCTGTGGAAGTGGGCCACCGGGCTGCTGTTCCCAGTGCCTCTCTGCCCCCCCCCGCCCGCCCGCCCGTACATGTGTTCAAAGGCTAAGGCTGGCCATGGCAGTGCCAGGCTCCTACGCGACGGCGGCATCATGAATATTCATGCCCGCTCCCACTCGACAGCAACACTTGGTAGAGCACATGGCCCGCCAGCTGTTCAGGCAGAGACGGGCATCTGTGCGCAGGGCGAGGCAGGCAGGCGGGCAACCACAACACCTGTGGATTAACTCCTCCCGAGCCAGCCTGCGCTGGGTGCGCTCACAGAAAACAACGTACCCGTGTCTGGCTGGGGAAGCACTGCGCTCTCCTGCACCAGAACACAAAGGCAGGGTTTAGTGCAGCAAGGCTGTCACTGCAGAGAGTTTGCCATCACTTACTGCAGCAAATCAGCAATGATTTTATAACACACAGGCCAGTGTGACTGCAGGCCCCAGCTGAGCTCAGAGCTCAGTCCTACAGGTCTGAGTCTCACTCCAGTGTTGTCACAAGACCCTCTGTTCACACACACTGCCCTGCGTGGGGGGGGGTCCAAAGGGGGGTGGAGCAGGCTTTGTATATCTGAATAGAGCGATTGTCTCTTCCCACGAGAGGGGCGGGCTAAGGGACTGTACAAAACTGCTGTATTTCACAGCGTGCTGGGATGATGCACGCTGACCTAGGGAAGGTCAGGCATCACAGGATTCAGCTCTTCATGCACCCCTACACTCATACACACACTCGAGTGGAAAACAGGGATGCGGGAATTTACCAAAAAAAAGCGTTTCGGCTTCTATCTTCCGCATGATGGGGAGAGAGGGGGAGAAATCAGATGTGCTTTTACCAGATATTAATTTTTTTTTTAAACTTGCTGCAGGTTTTGTGGGTTGACGTTTTTGTCAGTTTGGATACCTCAGTACTGAAAGGTCTCCCCCAAATAGTGGTGGCAGACCTACCAGAGAAGGAGGAAAAATCCGCCAAGATCAGCTGTCCCCCCCATTGCCCCTGAGTTACTTTCACTCTAGTCACGTTAGGAGCGGACCTTCCAAGCTAAGCCACTAATTCTTTTTATAATATATAGTACCAAAAAGTAAACAAAAATAATTAAAAGAAGAAAACTAATATTTTTGATAATGGGAATATATCGCTCCCCCTACAAACTGCAGTACTGAGACAACAAAACAAAGCAAATAACATGAAAGGCAAAAACAGGCTGCCAGTTTTTAATACAAAGCCAGCAGGCAACACCAGAAACCTGAATCCCATTTAATGCCCATTATCCATGCAAATTCCTCGGAAGAACCAGTGCAACCCAGCGTAACCATTTGGCTTGGACAGGGCAGGGTCCAACGACCGCTGGGCTGGCTGACTTTCCTGACTGGAAAGCAAGGCATTCCCTGCCCAGCAAAGAGAACACAAACCTCTGAGTGCTTTGAGGATAGAAAATGAAATATGTCCTTTTGCTTGTTCTGTTAAAGTAGGCGCATTTGAGATTAACTATACTGGAGGTGCAACCCTTAAGATAACATAATGGCAGCAAAGGAGCTCTGAAGAGTTCTCAGCCAGCTTACAGAACATGGGTCACTGCCCCGCTTGCCATAAACATTTTCAGAGACTTTCAAAGGGAACTGCTGCAACAGACGGAATACACAGAAAAAATCCAACTGATACTGGACCCGAGCAAGGTGCATTTCTGTTAGCTCATAACATCGAAATTCCCATTTTCTTACTTGCAATTTCTCAGACAGGAAGGAGTAGAACGAATGTATCAAAAGGCAACGAGATCGGGAATTGCTCTTGGAACAAGGCAACGGATCACTCATAGGAACTGTACACAGCGCTTTGAGAAGCCACCTTTAAAGGCGCTATATAAAATAACGTTGTTTTTTATTATTACACAGAAACGAATGAATCTAAGCCCTGGGAAAGAGGAGGGCCAGTTCTGAACAGAGTTTCACAAACCTAGCCCTACCAACAAACAGGAAAACCTATATTACTCCTAGCATATCTTGACAGAAAATGAAGGTATTATAGTCAGCGCGGTACATGACAATGCAATCATAGTGAAAAGGGGGAAGTACACACCAAAGCATTTTGTGAAAGCAAGGAAAGGGAATAAAAGATTATTTTATTTAAAACAAGAAGAACAGGGTGGCATAACAAATCCAGGACAGCGCTGCATGTTGTGTTTGTGTGGTGTGTGTGCCAGGCACCCTCTGTATGCAGACCCAGCAAGCTGCCTATGAAAATCTGTAGCCCACACGGAGTCTGCCCAGGGTGGCATCCTGATGCCAACAGCCCCCTCCCCCCCAGCACACACACACCACCCACTGCATGCCAACCCAGGGCTGAAGGGCTCTCCACAACAGGCCGGCCCCAGACCTTCTGCTGCCCTAGATAGCTATTTCTGTGCAAACCCACTCTACAGTGGATGGGGGGGTCTTCTTTAAATGTGTCGAGGCTCCAGCTGTTTGAGATGCAAAGATAAGCCCACCCCCCCCCTTCCCAAGGCCTGCCTTTGCTCCTTCAGACTGCCTTCATACACAGTTTGTATATCGCTACTTCCATTCGACCTTCCATTGACTTTCATGTATTTTTATTTACTGTCATTTACTCTGTGAAATTAAACTCTACATGGGGTGAAAGCAGATCCCAAATAAATGGTTTTGACACTCTTTAAAGGCAGCACCTTATTTTTGCTTAAAAGTCAGTTCACATCAATTTAGTAATAACAGACAGAGCGGGAAGGCAGGGGTTAGGATGAGAATTGACAGTGATTAAAGTAACTATGATAATTGATCAATATCAACTATAATAATAGTTATCAATATAACTACTGCAAAATTAGACATCAACTGTGATCAGTATAGGTGCCATAAG